TGAGTGGGTGACCCCCCAAAATCCCCCTTTTTTTTAAACCCCAAAATCCAGAGCTGGCCATCAAGTACAGCACCCTCAGCTGGCCCCTCCAAATTCCCCTTTTTAACCCCAAAACTCAGCTGGCCATAAAGTACAGCAACCTCAGTAAGCGGGTGAGCCCCCTCAAATCCCCTTTTTTTTAACCCCAAAATCCAGAGCTGGCCATAAAGTACGTGAGCCCCCCAAATCCCCCTTTTTAACCCCAAAATCCACAATTTGCCATCACGTACAACACCCTCCCAAATCCCTGTTTTTAACCCCAAACTCTGGGCAGTGCCAGCTCCAGCCTTGGCATTCCCTGTGTGTGGCAGGGCAGCTCTGGTGTCCCCGTGGTGAGAATTGCCCAGACCAGTCCTGGCTTGCCAGGGCTTGTCCATCCCTGTTTTATTTGTCCTGCTGGATTTTGGGAAGGAACTCCCCCCTTCTCTGTGGGAATCCTTCAGTTTTCCAGCACTTTGCCCTGGCAACCAGGAACTCCAAAGGGTTTTGGCCCTCCCAGTGCTGAGTGTGCCCCAAACTGGTGGGATACTGGAGGAATCCCTCAATTTGTGCCTCAGTATTAAAAATAAAAGCAAATATCAGGAAAATATCCCCAGGCAGGTTTCCACTCGTGTACCCACAGATCCTTTATCCACTCTGTACAAAGTGGGAAGGGGCTTTGCTGAGCCCACAGATTGGGGGTTGAGTTATCCTTAAAAACACCCCAAAAATTCACATTCATCCCCTGAAAACGGGAAAATGTGGGAATTGGGGCCTTCATCTGGGTGGGATTTGCTGGGGAACCCCTGGAAATGAGGCTGGGGGATGCCCAGGGTTGTGGTTGGGGGTGCCAGCCTGGGCTGGGGGATGCCCAGGGGTGTGAAGGTGCCAGCCTGGGCCAGAGAATGCCCAGGGTTGTGGTTGGGGGTACCAGACTGGGCTGGGGGATACTGAGGGATGTGGATGGGGGGTGCCAGCCTGGGCATCCCAGGGGTGTAGGGGTGCCAGCCTGGGCTGGGGGATGCTCAGGGCTGTGGGTGGAGGTGCCAATGGATGTCCAGGGGTGTGAATGGAGGTGCCAGCCTGGGCCAGGGAATGCCCAGGGGTGTGAAGGTGCCAGCCTGGGCTGGGGGATGCCCAGAGGTGTGGATGGGGCTACCAGTGGATGCCCAGGGGTGTGAATGGAGGTGCCAGCCTGGGCCAGGGAATGCCCAGGGGTGTGGATGGGGGTACCAGTGGATGCCCAGGGATGCCAGCCTGGGACAGGGAATGCCCAGGGGTGTGGATGAAGGTGCCAGCCTGGGCT